TTCAACGTTTTACTCAGAACCTAATAATATTATGTTTAGTATACAATAATAATATTTTTGTCATCAATAATTATTTAACTGTTGAAAACAATATCTATTTTGGTAGTTTAATAAACAGTTAGTTAATAGCGTATATTACAATGTATACTATAAAAATAAGTAAATAGGTATATAAAATATATAGTCTATTGTATAATTATATATGAAGGTATATGTTTATAAATAATAAAAATAATATAATTACGTTGAAAGCTGAAAGTGTGTTAAGCTGCTTGATGTCGCCTGTAAAGTATTCAATTCAAAAACAAAATCGATTTTGCTGAAAATTAGTTTAGCTTAAAAATGATTAAAATATAATTTTAAGTACAAGAACTTGAAGGACAAGAAGAAAAATACGAGTATACAGCATAAGCGATAAACACCTTATCCTTATCCGTTCCTGGTAAAAAATAAAGGACATAAATAGATAGTAAATGGAAACCAAGGATATACTAAAAAATCTAATATTAGTAATTTTAACACAATAAAAATCGTTTTCATGGTAAACTTAAGATACACCGTTGTAAGAAGACATGTAATTTGCAACAGTGGTGTAATAAGGTTGGGTAAAGGGTTGCAACCCCACCGAAATTATAATCATTAGGTACTGTTATATATAGTAACTTCTAGATCTAGAAGCTAGATCATATTTGTTGGTTAGTKATTRGTATAGATTACAGTCCACCTCAAAAATTATYTTTATAAACGTMACTGATTAGCAACACTCCCAGAACATTTTTAATAGCCTTTTTATTCGTTCGGACCAGTGGATAGTTGTAATGAGAAATTTAGTTTAATTTGTTTTACACAAGTTTTATTGATGAACTCATAATATTATTATGAATAACGATACAATTRATTAAATTTATTACTCGATGTTATCTAAATAAATAGAAATAAAATTATGTATTATGTTAATACATCATGACGTTACAGTTCGCTGAAATACGAGCTTCAACARTTTTATCATTAAACTTGACATTCAAACACGAAACATTAGTCATTACTTACAGCATCCAGACAAGTGACATAATCACACGTGTTAAAAAATATAGCACACAACAACGAGACGAAAATGAATTGAAAGTTGTCCAAGTTCAATAATTTCATGATCGCTCTCGAACTAACGTCTTGAGGTTAAAACCAAAAAAATAAATAGATTTAACTTAAAATTGTTTCACTCGCCAATTATCCACTGTTTATATGCAATTGAATAAAATAGTTCAAACAGTATACATAAGTGTCGAAAATATCATTCGCATTAAAACCGCGCATTTGAAGCAACCAACAGGCAATATAGTGAATACGATAACCAATACTATAACTTATTATTTCATGTGCACCTTTTTATAGGTACCTACTTCTTAATATATACATTAAACATATATATATAGTTATGCAAACTATCCTTGAAGCTTGTGTAAAACTAAAAACAAGTAACTGTACCGGAAATTAATATTATTTATTATGTTGTCATCTTTCCAGTTGGAAAACATGGCCAGTTATTGAATTAAACTTACTATAAACATTATATAGGTACTTACCTAATGTAATTATAATAAATGCGCATCTACTATTGCAACACGGTACCAATAAGTACTAGCTCAATTTTGAACAAGTTTTAAAGGAGACCAATTCATAAAACACTTATTTTTTGAACACTTAAGTAAATGATATCTCTAAAATTACAAAATATATGATTTGTTTACTAACGTGGATTATTTGAATGTTTTTTTTTTTTTTTAGGAATCTTAGGTTCCTTAAAAATAAAATTCATTTCGATATTTGACTCGTGTCATTTCACTAATTGCATAATAATAATTTACAATATAATGTGATGGTCATGTTTTTGTAAAATCATCCAAATTAGGTACTTTACTAATTAGGTATTAAACTTATGGAAAATTAAAATTCATTAAGTAATATAAATGAAATACAAAATATTAGAGACGAATAGTTAAAATTCATTTTTCGTATATATACATATATGTACACAATAATTTATCACATTGAATTAAAAATAAATTATCATATCCATTATAGTGTTCTACTCAATAAAGACTGACGGGGTAAACTCGAAGTTTCGAACTTAATTATATACTGTTCACCAGATCAACTTCCTCGATTTATCACATTTCAACTAATATAATTTATAATTTAATTTTGCTGTTCACCTAAATTTTACACTTTACCTACTTATATGTCGTGTAAAAAAAATCTTCAAGTAGGTAATCGCTTTGAATGTTGTAGGTAGAGTGTAATAGGTGTCGATTGAACTTGGTAATTTATTATTAGGTCACTAAAATAGATGTGTTAAATTCGTATACAATGAAAAACGATCCTGAGAGTAGTTATAGCTTAACTTTATGGTTACTAAGGTTTTTTTCTTTTTTGTAATTTCTGATTATTTTGGAAAATACTATGAATTTTTTATTTTTAATTCCCCAAAGTCCCTGCTAAGTACAATTTGTTATCAGAAATCATTTTAAAAGTTTAAAATTGTATCATTGTTTATATTATAAAAGTGTAATCAGACAMAAAAAACACACGTATTATTGTAGAATCAATACATTTAGTGCTTCACTAAAACGTTGGTAATCAGCAAGGCTTGCAGAAACATCATGCAATTTCATATTTCTTAATTTTTTATAGTTTCTTATAGAAAGCGGTGTATTCAAAATCTGATTCTACACAAATTCGWTTCATGATACATATAATATTGAAGTACAAAAATATATGTCGCATAATTTTGAATATTTTACTTGGTTAATATAGTTTTTCATTTTATGTATATTGTATGTTTGTGATTTAATATAAACCAGTATTATCAGTATATAGGTAGGTAAGTRCCTACGATCGATTTGCCTAAAAAAAAAAAAACATCAATCATTCACACATAGTGTTGTTATATATTTTTTTTAATCATTAATTTATATGTTTGATAATACAAAAAATAAAAATAAATACTGGTAGTATAAAAAACTTCGCAACGTGCAGTACCCAATGCAATTTGTTCGAATTTTAGCCTTTAGGTAAACGATGAGATTCAATAGGTATAGATAATAGTCGATGTTTTGATTTGTATTCCATTTGTTAGATTGGGTAAAAAGTTTTTTCATTAAAATTATCAAACATCGATACATGGTAAAACAAATATACGAATACGATTTATACCTACTTTTAATTAAAAGGATAAAAGAATTAAAATAGTTCTATATATTATATGTACAAATGCATGCATGTATATATGATTTTAACGCAAACCCATTGAATTCTTTTTTCATACAAAAATAGATTTAAAGTATTGCATTGTTGTAATTTTCGTTCAATAATGTTTACTTCAAACGTGGTAATACATATATGAAGAATGTTATAACTAGGGTTCGGAAGTTATAGGAGTTGCATATTGTTCTGTATGCTGTTGAATTATAGCAGACCAAGTTAGAAATCCAAGCTATACAATGTTGAGTTTAAAAATAGAAAATTAAAAATGCATATTTTGATAATTTTAGAAAAAAAGTGCATATTTCGTCGATTTTCGCATATTTGTATGCATATTTAATATTTTCTACAAAAATTAATTTTTTTTTCATTCTTAATCAATTTATTTTAAATAATGTTATATTTTTTCAGTTCAATAAAATCTCAAACGCCAACCGGTAACACGCCATATTTTTTATTTTTTTTTATATATAAGAGTTTTAAATAATAAAATTTTTTTAAATATTTATTTTTATAATTTTTTTTCGCGTATATTAATAAATAATTGATACACTTTTAATAAATAAATACATTTTTTTGCATTTTTCA